AAAACCATCTCTCTCACCATATACCACAAAAACCGAAACCCTACCCATCTCACCCCATTCTCCGAAAATCAAGCTTGAACAAGCACACCAATGGCACCCAAAAGAGACAGGGCTGAGAGTTCAACTGCAAGGGGACAAATTCCCGGATTTGAGGATGTCCGGTTCGGCCCGGGGAATCAAAGGCAACGGTTCTTGGCTCAAATAAAAAGGCAAGTAATCCCCTCCAAATTTCTATGTCATGATGCTCTCACTGCTTTAGGCCTGTTGGAAAAAATGCGCAATTTATTTCATGAGTTGGATATGAACTTGATTTTTGATATGAAGTGTAATTGTAATGAGAGGGTGATTTATGAATTCTTGAGCTCGGCTAAGTTTGTTGAACGTGAGGAAAGGGAGGAGTTCAATAACGACACACTCACGTTTCATTTATTCAACAATGAATACACAATAACGAGACGTGAGTTTGCCCAACATTTTGGCATCCCCGTGGCCCATGAGAGAGGAATACCGGAAAATACAATAGATGGCCACACTTTATGGGCTAAAATGACCGGAGAATTGAATGTGAGTGCGTCTAAACTTTCAATTAGTCACGTTCAACATCCTATTCTCCGACTTTTCCTAAAGTTTTTGGCCAATTGTTTGCTCGGTCGCCCTAACAACCACCACACTCGGATGGGGGACGTGACCATCCTCACCCTAGCCCTCTTTCAAATACCCGTGCCATTCAACCTTTGCAACCTAATGTGGGGTCATTTGGAGAAAACTTGCAACAAAACGGGTAATATTGTTGTCGGGGGGGGGGGGGGGGGGGGGGGGGTCATTATGCATTTGGCCTCCACATTCGGTTATGTGGATAATGAACCAATAGCCGATCAATGTTTGATGAATTTGACTTGGCTTGGAAATGCGGGGTGCATCTCCTTCGCCCACAAAGACTACAACGGGAGAAACCATTACAAGTGGCATATCCTACCCAAACCAACCATCTACTTCCCCATCCCCTCCAAAGAAATACCTAAACTTAGGTATAAAAGGGCAAGTTTTGAAATCACACATTACCTACTTCCTAATGCCATACCACCACATTTTCAATCCCAAGCCGAACAACCCGAACAAATTGAGCATCAAAAGCCCAAAGAAATGCACAACATGATATTCCCGACCCCCCTCAAAACCAACCACCACAACACATCCCCAATCCTCCTTACAACACTCCTCCAACCGACTATTTCCAACAACTCTTGGAGGGCCAACAAGCACTACTTTCCGGGTTCAACACAATGAACCTCAACTACACCAACATGGGTGAACAACTTGCACAAGTCCGAGAGGAGCAACGGGCGGGCTTCCAAAGAATGGAAGAGCTACGGAAAGCCGACCTCCACCGTTATGAAGAGGACTATCGTAGGACTTATGGTCCTATGTACTCATATATGGCCCATCACGGGAATTTCTCTTCTATGGACACTCCTCCACCACCATCTTGGTATGACCCCTCTCAATGGGGTAACTTTGGAGGTTCAAGCTACGGTGGTGGGGGCTATGATCACGGGATGGGAGACGACACTACCATGGATAAAGGGGGCAATGAGGGCGGCACCGGTGGAGGCTTTGGAGGAAGTTTTTATGGCGGTGAAGGCGGGCACTAAGGATAGTGCCTTGATCCAAGTGTGGGGGAGGAAGACTCATTTTTTGGTATGTTAAAATCCCTTTTGTTTTACCTCATACTAAGCATTATTTTCTTGTACTCTTTGTACACGCACACACCCAAAACATAAAAAATAAAAAATAAAAAAGGGAAATAAATGCTAGTTAGGTTGAAAACCCAAAAACGGGCAATCTAAGCAACAAGGGCTTAAAAAAAATGAGTGAGTCGGAAAGGAAGGAAAAACGAAAAGAGATGCTAGGATGAAAACCTGAAAAGGCTCCTAGGCAAAACGAGATATATGAGAGAAATTTGTTTTTGCAAGACATCATCTATTGAAGAAAAGAAGAAAAAGAAAAGGAGAAGAGGAAAAGAAGAAGTAAGGAGCATAGAAGACCCTTAAACCCAAGGAAATGTTGTCCTGTAAACTCATTTACAATACTTGGTGTCTTAGTTTCTTATTTCTTACTATCTTTGAACTTATGATCTTTTGATGAACATTGTATAAACATTTGGTTTTACTCGAGGTCGAGTAAAGAAACTAAGTGTGGGGGAGTTGACATTCATGTAAATTATATATTTATTTCTATGTTTTAAATTAGTTTTGATTGATTATTACTTTGGAAATTACACACTTTTGGTGTAGTAGTTTAAGTTGTAAAAATGTTTGTAATTTGTTTAGATTAGGTTTATACTGAGCTCAAACAGGTCCAAGATCACTTTAGGGACCATTGGTGAACATCACAAATGGAAAGAAGGTGCAAAAATCTCAAGATTCTGATTTTTGGTGTTGTATACGGTCGGGTATGACCTATACCCGATCGGGTACCTTGTTGAAAAATCAAATCGGATCGGATCCGGGACAAGGCAACATGCAGGGGAGATTTTGGCACGACCGAGTGTTCATACCCGATCGGGTGGCCGACATACCCGATCGGGTATAACCCAGTTTTTTATACTTCTGCGAAGCAACCAAGTACACGATCGAGTGCCCTTACAGCCCGATCGGGTACAAGACCCTACAAGCCTAAAAAGCCTATAAATACCCCCCTTTTCTTCCCACAAAGATCACCAATTCCTATATACTTCTAAGCTCAGTCTAGAATAGTTCTTTCTTTATATTTTCATCATGTTTAGTCTCCAAATGAGGAGCTAAACTCTTCCATCTTGGTTTTGCTACTTTGAAGCTTAATGAATTTGTAAATTGTGAGTTATTCTCTTTAATTTTCTTCCTTAAATATTAATTCTTCCTTTAAATACTATTTCTATATCAATGTTGGGGAGTGTTACTAAGATGACAATTAGTTAACATCTTGACATTAGTTATAGTAATAGTTATTTCTTCATCTATGTTAATATTGGGGAGTGTTACTAAGATGACAATTAGTTAACATCTTGATATTAACTATAGTAGGATTCATACTCTTTAATATTCTTCCTTGAGTATTAATTAATTCCTATTTATATTTCATATTAATATTTTGATCATTACTTAAAGGATCAACTAGTTTTGTTTCATATATTAATTATTACTAGAATCAATCGATTAATACGCTTGTTATTAATTCGGTTCCTTCAACGGTAGTAAACTTGGATTGTTAATGCATGCGTCTCATGATTAATAATCTAAGAGGAATTAATTATATTGATTAAACCAATAAACCGCTTGTGTTGAGGTTATCAATCTCAATCGTTTTCATCTTAAGTTTATTGCTACTATCGGGCCAATATACGACGCTTGTTCTATATTAACTCGGTAGTAAGTTTTATTAATGAACGCGTCTCGTTATTAATAACTACCCTCGATGAACTGGATATACTCCTCGATTGAGTATTCGAGAGGAAGATAGTTAAAGATATAACCGGGATCGACGAACATTTCATTAAGTGGATAAAAGCAAAATCAAGTCCTCATCTCATTAAATTAAAATCATATAGGTTGTTTATCTTAGTGTTAATTAAATTCATTCAAATCAAACTTAAAACTCCCCTTGTTACTATTAATAAAAGAGAAAAGTATTCCTTTCCCTGTGGATACGAACCTTACTACACTATACTACGTATTAGTGTAGTATTGATTAATTATTTTGAGTGCACCTCACGACAAGTGCACGTCAACTGCCCTCAGCCGCCTCCCGAGACTGTTGCTCGCGGCAGCCGACTGCTGAGGCTGCTGCTCGCGGCAGCCGCCTATTGAGGCTGCTGCTCGCGGCAGCCGACTGCTGAGGTTGTTGCTCGCGGCAGCCGCCTGCTGAATCTGCTGCTCGCTGCAGCCAGCTGCTGCCGTTACGGAAATTAAATGCCCAACGTTCCTTGCAATTAAATGGACAGTTATGGACGATTCAATGCCAACGTGCTGGACATTGATGTCCAACGGTAATGTCCATTAAAACGTCATTAACACACAATTAGCAGGTGGTTTGCAACAATACGCTCACAAACGTTCACCACACACTCTTTAGCTCTCAAAAACATCTCTAGCATTCCTGAAAAATTCTTTGGTGTTCATACTTGTTCCCGTTCGCCGGAACAATTCGTTTGAGTGCTCAAACTATTGTTCGTAGTCATCGTATCCTGGGAAACGATCATTGCAAAGCTCCTAGCACCCCGGGAGGCAACAAATACGTTTTAAGGACATCGTGCGTTGCACGAGCTTTGACTAATTCTCCTTCATCTATTTTCTGTTTTCTTTAGTCATTTTAATTAATTAATTTTTATTAATTATTTCTTTGTTTTTCGAAACACACCCAACAGGCAGGACCTCTTGTGTGCACGGGTATAAGACCTAACACCATTGGACGAAAACTTACTCTTTAACCATTTTATCGGGTCTGATTGTGGGGGCGCCCGGGGAGGGCCATTCCACCTCTTGGAACAACAACAATAATGAAGAAAATGTAGTTGTGATTGTACAAACCTAGTGGTATAGCAAGCTTGGTACACTAGTTGACACTTGTTGGGGAGAAAACCCTTCACCTGGGAAAAGTAGGGCAAGGTGCATGTCACCTGAAGCTGCCCATCATTCGTTCCGTAACCATCATACCGAAGAGAAGCTGTGATCTTTAAGACAACTGTGAAGCCTGTTGAAAGTGATCCAGCTTATGTGTATGGATAGAGTCCTACATGGCATTCATACGTAGGAAATATCATATTTCTATTTAATGTTATTGTTTTCATTTGTTTGAATAAGTCAGAGGTTGTTAGCTTGAACCTAGGAACTTTCTGATCCACTACTTTTGATATGGTTGTACGTGCATGATGGCTTTAGTTTAGGAGTTTGTTACGCAGTATACATGGCTATATAATGCCAAGTTCATTACATTAATTATATGAGAGTTTTTGGTTCCTCACGTCTGGATTGTTTCAGCTTGAAAGATAGCTACTATTATATATTACTATACATTCTGTAATCTAACATTTGGTATCAGAGCTGCCAATGAGAGATCCATCCATCCACGTGAGGAAAAAACACCACTAAAACACAAAAATCCATCACCATGCAAGGGTCCGGAAAATCATTATGGTTTGCTTGCAATCACTCAGAAGGGAGATGGAGATTGCTCGTATGAAGGATAAGGAGCCAGTGCAGGATTATCTGTCACGAATTACCACTATTGTTCAGAAGATGAGATCCTATGGTGAGGACATCAAAGAGGAACAAATTGTGAGTAAGGTGATGCGTAGCCTTACATCGAGATATGGACAGTTAGTCTGTGCCATTGAGGAGTCCAAAGATTTGGAAACCTACACATTTGAAGAGTTGAAAGGCTCTCTTCAAGCATATGAAGAAAGAGGTAACACTGAAACTAAAAGAAATGAGGAACATGCATTTCAGGTTAAAGAGGAGTCATCCAGAGATCAACCTTTCCAGTCTTCAAGCAGGGAAAGAGGGAGAGGTAGGGGAGGCTTTAGAGGTGCACATAGAGGAAGAGGTAGAGGGAGAGGTCATTTTAGCAGTGAGGGAAGGACTGACTACTCCAAAAGCACTTCTAAAGCTCCAATCAAATGTTATTACTGCAACAAACCAGGACAATGGTTGGAAGAAAGAGGAGGATAAGGACAATGGAAAAAATGAGCACAAGTCAAATTATGCTGAACATGAGCAACTCTTTCTTGCTCAGCATAATTTAAATCAAGATCACAGCTCCGTTTGGTATGTTGATAATGGGTGTTCAAACCACATGACTAGCTCCAAACGGTTGTTTAAGGACCTAGATGATACCAAGAAAGGTGTTGTAAGGCTTGGGGATGGTAAGCAACTAACAGTAGAAGGTCTTGGTACTATCTTGGTTCCTACTACACAAGGTAGAAACAAAGTGTTGCAAAACGTTCAATATGTTCCCCAGTTGGCCCATAACTTACTAAGTGTTGGGCAACTTTTGAGTGGGGGATACTCAGTAGTCTTTGAGGATGGTAGCTGCACTATCAAAGAGAAGCTGAGCAATGAGGCCATGATGACAGTTCCTATGGGAAAAAAATAAGGTATTTCCTTTGGAGTTGATGAAGACTGAAGACCATGCATTTGTTGTAAGAGGTGATGAGAGTGCTAAGATTTGGCATCTCAGGTATGGTCACTTGAATATACACAACTTGAAACTGCTAGGTACCAAGAAACTTGTATCAGGACTGCCTTCTATTGGTGACCTAGAGTTTTGTGAAGGTTGTGTATATGGCAAGCAGTCATGTGGGTCATTTCCTACAGGTCAAAGTTGGAGGGCAAGTGAGGTCCTTGAACTGGTGCATGCAGATCTGGTTGGCCCTATGCAAACTGAGTATTTGGGTGGAAGCAGGTATTTCTTCTTGATTACTGATGATTTAAGTAGAATGTCATGGGTTTACATTCAAAAAGGTAAAGGAGAATCCTTTGACAATTTCAAAAGATTCAAGGCCCTAGTAGAAAAGCAAAGTGGGAAGGCTGTGAAAGCCTTACGAACTGACAGAGGAGGGGAATTTCTATCCAAAGAATTCATCAACTTCGGTGAGAATCAGGGAATAAGAAGGGAACTGACTGCACCTACACCCCTGAGCAAAATGGGGGTGGCAGAAAGGAAGAACAGGACACTAGTAGAGATGGCAAGAAGCATGTTGAAGGCTAAAGATTTGCCAAACAAATTTTGGGGTGAGGCTGGGAGCTACTGCAGTGTATTTACTCAATATCTCACCCACAAAAGCTGTAGATAATGCCACTCCGTTTGAAGTATGGAGGTTAAAAAAACCATCAGTTGGTCATTTGAGAATCTTTGGGTGTATAGCCTACACTCTAGTAAATCAAAGAACCAAGCTGGATGGAAAGGCAGACAAATGTGTGTTTGTTGGTTACTCAGTCCAATCAAAAGCCTACAGATTGTTTAATCCTGATACTGTTAAGGTGCTTATCAGCAGGAACGTTGTATTTGATGAAGAATCAGCCTGGAACTGGGAAGATCAAGCCAAGGGAAGAAACACCATACAACCAACTCTCTCTATAGATGATCCTGCAGCAGAAACAGAAGAGTCACCATCATCATCCTCACTCAATATGTCACCAAGTTCCAGCAGCCCTAACAGTCAAAGTTCTAGCAGTCCTAGCAGCTCTAGCAGATCAAAAAGTGAATCTCCACCATGCAAGGTAAGATCATTGATTGATATCTATGAATCTTGTGACTTTGCCTTAGGTGCTACTGAGCCTGCAGTGTATGAAGAAGTTGTTAACAAGGATGAATGGAAACAAGCCATGAAGGAAGAGATCACTGCTATTGAAAAAATGATATATGGGAGCTTGTTACATTACCTAAAGATAGGAATGTAATAGGGTTAAAATGGATGTACAAGACTAAGTACAACTAGGATGGGAGTGTTTCCAAGCATAAGGCCAGGTTGGTTGTGAAAGGGTATGCACAGCAAGAGGGTCTTGACTATGAGGAAACATTCTCACCAGTGGCCAGATTCGAGACAGTTAGGGTAGTGTTAGCTCTTGCAGCTCAGTGGAGGTTGCCAGTCTTCCAACTTGATGTAAAGTCAGCCTTCCTCAATGGGGAGTTGGCTGAAGAAGTGTTTGTAGAACAGCCTCAAGGGTTTGAGCAAGACAATGCAGAAGGAAAGGTTTACAAGCTTAAGAAAGCATTATATGGGCTCAAACAGGCTCCCAGGACTTGGTACAGCAAGATAGACTCCTTCTTCATTCAAAATGGGTTTGTAAGGAGTGAAAATGAACCTACACTATATGTGAAGAAGCAAGGTACGAAAGATCTCATTATAGTATGCTTGTATGTAGATGATATCATATATTTTAGCTCTTCACAAGACATGTTAGATGGCTTCAAGAGTGCAAGGACCAAGGAGTTTGAGATGACTGATTTGGGAATGCTAAGGTATTTCCTTGGACTTGAAGTAAGGCAGGACTGTAATGGCATTTTCTTATGCCAAAAGAAATATGCTATGGATCTGTTAAAGAGGTTTCATATGGAGAACTGTGAGGCAGCAAAAACACCAATGAACACAAATGAGAAACTACAAAAATCTGATGGAACCGAGAAGGCTGATGCAACACTTTACAGATCCATGGTGGGAGGTTTGAACTATCTCACACATTCTAGGCCTGACATTACTTTGAGTGTAAGGATAGTGTCCAGGTACATGCATAATCCCACCAAGCAGCATCTGGGAGCAGTCAAAAGGATTATGAAGTATATTTCAGGTACACTGGAGTATGGCATCCAATACACACGTGTGAAGGAGTTCAACCTAAGAGGATACACTGATAGCGACTGGGCAGGCTGTGTGGATGATAGGAAAAGCACGTCCGGATCAGTATTTGATCTTGGGTCTGATGCTATTACTTGGAGCTCGAAGAAGCAGGAAACTGTGGCATTATCAACTTCGGAGGCTGAATATGTGGCTGCGAGAGCTGCAGCAAAACAAGCCTTGTGGTTGAGAAAGCTCCTAACTGATCTATGTTGCAAACAAGAGGAGAAGCCTGAGATTTGGTGCGACAGTAAATCAGCAATAGCAATGGCCAAGAACCCCACATTTCATTCAAGAACTAAACACATAGACGTGCAGCATCATTTTATACGACAACTAGTGGCTGAAGAAAAGATAACACTTCACTTTTGTGGTACAGATTGGCAAAATGCGGATCTATTCACCAAAGCACTGAACCAGGCGAAACACTACTACTCCATGGAGAAAATAGGGATGTGCAAGCATGGATCAAGGGGAGGTGTTGAAAGTGATCCAGCTTATGTGTATGGATATAGTCCTACATGGCATTCATACGTAGGAAATATCATATTTCTATTTAATGTTATTGTTTTCATTTGTTTGAATAAGTCAGAGGTTGTTAGCCTGAACCTAGGAACTTTCTGATCCACTACTTTTGATATGGTTGTACGTGCATGATGGCTTTAGTTTAGGAGTTTGTTACGCAGTATACATGGCTATATAATGCCAAGTTCATTACATTAATTATATGAGAGTTTTTGGTTCCTCACGTCTGGATTGTTTCAGCTTGAAAGATAGCTACTATTATATATTACTATACATTCTGTAATCTAACAAAGCCGCCGTCGCCAAGGGCCATGTCCGGTGCATGAAAGGTGAGGGTGAGATTATTGGTGGCACGGGGAGGCTGCAAAAACGCCGCCAATGTGGCGTTCGCGACCAGCTTCTGCGCGGCGGTGCCGATGTAGAATGATGCTTGGGAGGTGCCGTAGTCATTGGTGTACTTTCTTTTGTTTCAGTTGCGGGTGTTGAGGATGAAGGTCACGTTGCCGCCGCCAGTGAAACGGCTGCTGCCGTTGGTTGTTAAGGGCACATCCAGTACGGAGTAGGCCGGAGCTTTAAGATCGGGGTGTTGGTACAGATATATGGTAACGGCAATGAATGCAATGATCAGGACTATGAGAAAAATGCCGCAGCAGCGTCGTTGACAATTTCTCTGATATTGTGGCCGGTCACCATCCATCTTCAGCGGCAGTGGAATACTTATTTAATTAGTGGAGATGAGAGGTAGTGAAGATTGTATTTAATTGCTTTTATTTATCGTTTAACGGAGTCCCTGCAACCTATGGTATTATATAGTACGAAGTTCGTATACACATATGGCGCTGCTTCTTCTTCTTCTTCGGAGTATTTTACGTCATATGTGAGCTATGCTATCGTTTTCAATAATGGTGAAGAAAGACGAAGTCAAAGGATAAAGCAAACCAAAAGCACGCGCTACATTTTTGTTTACTTTTGTGTGTATTATTATAGCCATTATTGTAATTAAAGCAGGAGATACTCAAATAGTTAACCGATATTAATGATGACATCATGACGGCTTTGAATGTTATCATAACAATCGAAACCGTCAATCACGGACAAAAGGCATTAATTACCCCTCCTATAAGTAGAGTATCGAGCTCAGTTGTGAGAGGGGCACCTCATTCAAATTATACATCAATTTACATTCTATTTCGCTCACTTGACATCCTTCTTGTTGTTCTTGTCATTTTTCTTACTGTTCTTGTACGAAACCCGATCAATATACCATCTCTATTCTAATTAGTTTTAGTTTATCAAAATTTGGCCAAAACATTGGATTATTTATTTGTTACTCATTTGAATTTGCCTTAATTAGGTTGGTAGTTGCCCTTTTAATGTCGAACAAAATTGTATTACATCTTGGTGTAAAAAGTATTTGAATTAATATTTATCATCTGTTTATGAATGGACCGAAGTGAATCAAAACTCATAAAGCTGATTCAATTAATGCTAATAATTTTTTTTTTGTTTTTGGCTTTTTGTGTTTCACATTGTTGATTTTAATCGCAATATTTTGACTTTGTCATTACTAACATTGTAGCCAATTCATGAAGCCCGATCAAAAGCATCATATTAAGACAATTTTAATTTGTTAGAGAGCACCTACCTTCTATGCAAGGAAATTGCAATAGACATACCCAACATATATTAATCGCGCAACACGCACTACAAAAAAATTACGGGATTGACACGGAATTTGGCACGCCCTTACCAATTTTTCGTGTCAAATAGCTCGTTTCAAAATGTTTTTGGCACGGATTTGACATTTCCCTACCAAAATCCTTGCTAAATCCCTACCAAAATCCCTACTAATCCCGTGGTTTTTTTTGTAGTGACGCACCGCATTACAAAAACTAGTCAATATAAATAAGCACCAAAGACATACGAGTATATATTATGATGCCCAACACTTAATACAACCTATAGAATTATGAAATTATGACAATGCCCACAACTTAGTACAACCTATATAATTGTAAAATTATGGCAAGGTTAAGCATTTGAAATACAATTGCAAAAACTAGGCCAAGACCTTGTGCGCCCGTAGAATACAAATACTCCATATATACGAAGTGTATAGTATGACTCGATAGTAGTTCCATTGCTGATTTATTATAGACGTATGTCCGATCCGCTTAATAACACCTACGGGTTCCGTACCTACAAATACAATACGTATAGTAATAACACCAACAGAAAAGTGGAGTTAGAAAAAACGATCAATTTAGTATGATCGTGTAATTTGTAAATATACAATACGGATATATACGAAATGCACCTAAAAATCATGATTTAGTACGTACGTCCCCATTTCATTTTGAAACAGGCTAGGCGGTACGTAGGATTAATTATATATACCATATTGATATCATGATTTCCACAAATGGAAGTATCTAAATAATTTCGGAACACTATAAAACAATAAAATATTATATAAGATTCTGGGTTATTTTTCTCATCAAGTTCACCATATGAAACCTCGGATCGTCATATCTTAATATGGTATTAGATCCAAATTGTGGTTTAACCGCTCATTTAATGAAGAAAATATAGGTTGAAATACTCTTTGACCTATTTATACACTCAAATATCTAGGTTGAAATAACGAAGAAAATATAGTTATGATTGTACAAACCTATTGGAATAGCACGATTGGACCAGTACGTGACACTTGTTGGGGAGATGAAAAGCCTGCAGCTGGGAAGAGTCGTAGGGCAAGTTGCATGTCACCTCAAGCTGCCTGTCAATCGATGACAATGTGTAACCATCATACCGAAAAGGAGCTTGGATCTTTAAGACGACGGTGGAGGCTCCACCGTCAAGGGCCGCGGCCGGTGCAAGAAAGGTGAGGGTGAGGTTACTGGATGCACGGGGAGGCTGCAAAAGCGCCGCCAATGTGGCGTTCGCGACCATCTCCTGCGCGGGGGCGCCTAGGTAGAGTGATGCTTGGGAGGTGCCGTAGTCATTGGTGTACTTTCTTTTGTTTCGGTTGCGGGTGTTGAGGATGAAGGTCACGGTGCCGCCGCCGGTGAAGCGGCTGCTGCCATTGGTTGTTAAGGGCACGTCCAGTACGGAGTAGGCCGGAGCTTTAGGATCCGGGTGTTGGTACACATATATGCTAGAGGCAATAATGGATGATGCAATGAACAGGACTAGGAAAAAAATGATCAAGCGGCTTTGTCCACGATTTATCTGGTCACAAACCATCTTCAGCGGCAGTGGAATACTTATTTAATTAGTGGAGATGAGAGGTAGCGAAGATTGTATTTAATTGCTTTTATTTATCGTTTAACGGAGTCCCTGCAACCTATGGTATTATATAGTACGAAGTTCGTATACACATAAGGCGCTGCTTCTTCTTCTTCGGAGTATTTTACGTCATATGTGAGCTATGCTATCGTTTTCAGTAATGGTGATGAAAGACGAAATCAAAGGATAAAGCAAACCAAAAGCACGCGCTACATTTTTGTTTACTTTTGACCGCCATCGCTTGAAACAAAGAAATTACCAAGTATCATGGAAATTTGATATGACTAAAAGATACCATATCGTATCTCTCAAAACTTTGTTAAATTTTATGGACACGAATTTATACCATTGAGATCTATGTAGCTGACACAGAAATGATAGAATCCTAATTTGATTCATTAAAATGAAAAGTGACAAAATTTTTGGCTTAACCAAAAAAGAAAATATGACAAAGCTGTAAGGGATGGATGGAGTATTGAGTTTATCTAAGGGGGATGTATTGAATATGGATTGTGGTGGATTTTTTTTAATCCGTGAACTTTTAAAAAATTCAATGGACTTTTAAATCTATTGACTTTTTTATGAATGAATTCTATGGACTTTTAAATCCATGGATATGTTTATTGACTTTCAAAAAGTTCATAGACTTTTCAATGCAAACCACCACTGCTAGTCGTCGAAATTTTCACCTAGACCACCGCTACCGATCTGCTCGTCCGCTTTCGTCACTTGAGTTTCCCGTTGTCGTCAATCCGCTACCAACAAAGTCGATTTGGTTATGCAAGAGAATTATGAACATTAGGCTGCTTCTTCTTCCGAGTATTTTACCACCTCATGCTACGGAGTATTTTTTTCATCTTTACACCAATGACTCAGCGTGAGCTATATATGCTACGGAGTATTTTTTTCAGTAATGATGATCAAAGACGAAATCAAAGCATAAAGCAAACCAAAAGTACGTAGTATCATGGAAATTTGCGTCCTATCTCTGCTTCCCTGATTTCCCGGGCCGGGCATGAAGTACTTTTTAATTTTCATGATTAAATTAATTTTAAAATTAAATACTATTCTAAAAATGTGAATACAATAAATATTAAAATTAATGAATACTACGTATTAGTTAAATAAAAACATGCTACTCATTACCTAAGAACATGCTAAGAACATGCGAATAAGATAGAAAATTATGTTGCTCAATTCTTTGTCGGCTTATCTTATACAAAAAGAACTACATATGAGAGAAATTCTCTCACTCAATTGTTAGCCGGATTAACTTATACTACCTCTGTCCCGGTAGACTTTACGACCGAGTGCAAAGTAGGTGAGAAATAAGAATAGTTAAAAATATACGTGTGGTTGAAATTTGTGCAGAGGAGAGAGAAATGTGCAGAACCACAAATTAGTTCCTTTAATAAGAAAGTGAGGAAGTTTTTTGGGACAACTAAAAAACGAAAGTTGTCAAAGTCCAACGAGACGGAGAGAGTACTTAAAATAACTATATGTATGAGAATAATTTCCCCGTTCAGTTGTTAGAACGGTGTTTAACCATATACTTCACCAAGCTCATAAATAGAAGAATAAGAACTCTTTATATTTTGTTTATTTATATATTTTTTTTATTTTTTTTTTGAAATAAAATAAAAGAAAAATTATTGCCTTCCCCGGCAACGGCGCCAAATTTGACGTGTACTTTGTCGTGAGGTGCACTCAAAATAATTAATCAATACAACAATTATAGGTAGTATAATAATGAAGTAAGGTTCGTATCCACAGGGAAAGGAATACTTTTCTTTTATATAAATAGTAACAAAGGGGGTTTTAAGTTTGATTTGATTTAATTTAATTAACACTAAGATGAATGACTTATATGAGTTTAATTAATAGAGATGAGGACTTGGTTTTGCTTTTATCCACTTAATGAAATGTTCGTCGCTCCCGGTTATATCTTTAACTATATTCCTCTCGAATACTCAATAGAGGAGTAAATCTAGTTCATCGAGGGTAGTTATTAATTACGAGACGCGTTCATTAATAAAACTTATTACCGAGTCAATATAGAACACGCGCCGTATATTAACACGATAGTAGCAATAAACTTAAGATGAAAACGATTGAGATTGATAACCTCAACACAAGCGGTTTATTGGTTTAATCAACATAATTAATTCCCCTTAGATTATTAACCATGAGATGCATGCATTAATAATCCAAGTTTACTACCGTGAATGAACCGAATTAATAACAAGCGTATTAATCGATTGATTCTAGTAATAATTAATATATGAAACAAAACTAGTTGATCCTTTAAGTAATGTTCAAAATATTAATATGGAATATGAATAGGAATTAATTAATACTCAAGGAAGAATATTAAGGAAGATGAATCCTACTATAGTTAATATCAAGATGTTAACTAATTGTCATATTAGTAACACTCTCAATATTAACATAGAGGAAGAAATAACTATTACTATAACTAATGTCAAGATGTTAACTAATTGTCAACTTAGTAACACTCTCCAACATTGATATAGAAATAGTATTTAAAGGAAGCATTAATATTTATTATTATATGTTGATGACATTATTATTACTGGCAACTCGTCCTCTCTTGTTTCTCCCTTTATTGATCGTGTTGTTCAGCACTTTGCTATGAAGGATCTTGATGACCTTCACTATTTTCTTAGAGTCCAGGCTAAATGTTCTGACAAAGGTTTCTTTCTCTCTCAACACAAATATGTCTCTGATCTTCTCTCTCGTTTCCATTTGCATACGGTTAAGCCTCTTTGCACCCCTCTTACCTTGCTAATCGCACTTCTCCCTCTCTCTCTCACTGATGGCGAACTACTTGCAGATGCCTGACGTGCACTTGTCGTGAGGTGCACTAAAAATAAATACAATACAACGAATATATTGTTGAAGATTATTTAATTGTGAATCAAGTTTGTCACCTATCTTGTAATATATTAGCTTTATTATATCCTTGTATTTAATATTTGTATTTATTAGGATAAAGATATGGGGCCAATGTGTCAGGCCCATATCAGGATGAAAGCCTTTCCGCCAACCCTATACCTGCGCATATAAAAAGGCGCTTCAGGTTTAGGGTTGCGTTAACTTTCGTACTCGTTCCAAATAGCCTTAGAGCAAATTCTTCTCTGTACGAGTTCACGGTATATCAAGGAAGGTTATCATCGATCATCTTTGTTCATCTTTATCGTTAATCTTCTTCTTGTTATACTGTTTATCTTTGCTGCAATAGAAAACAGGGACTAACAAATGGTATCAGAGCCGATCGAGAGCTGATCAGAAGAACGTCTGCAGAAAACCTCTGTTTTTCTTTAAGCTTTTGTTTCTCTCGAGTTCTTACTCTGTAATCTTGTTTCTTGTTGAAAAGTTGTAAAAGTTATACCTTTAGAATCGTCGTTTCGAAGCGATCAAGGTGTATACTTCAGATTTGTTTTTCTGTAAAATTTGTACTCGAGATATCTCGAGATCTAGATGTCGACATCTCTGGTTTGAACAGGTTCTGCCTAGTTTTTCAAGCTCAAAACTTCACCTAAGGATCTCGACATCATACTCTACCAGAAACTACCCTCAGATTTTGCTAACCTGAGTTTTTCACTTTGCAGGATTTCGATATTGAGGATCTCGACATCCAAATCTCGAGATCGAGGTTTCGATTTTTAAGGTCTCGACTTCTGGTCCTCGACTTTTGATATCTCGAAAACATATCTCGAGTTTCACTTCTCGATTTCTCAAATCTCGAGATTTGCTTCTTGACATTTGAAATCTTGAGATTTCAAAACTCGACATTTGATATCTCGATATCAAATCTCGATATTGGGCCTCATTTATCGAAATCTTGAATCTCGATATTCAAAACTCGACATCTGAATTTCGATATTCTGCCTTTGAAAATCTTTTGATCAAATATCTCGAACGGTCAGTTTTCTACAGCAATGGCTTCTGAATACAATGCCCAAGGGAACAGCAGTACTCCTCCCAGTCTAAGGAAAGGAGAATATCAGATGTGGAGGAATCGATTCCTAAATTTCCTCGAACACAAAGAAAATTCCGCTACAATGCTTGAATCACTGCTTGAAGGACCAGCTGAGCTGATGATTTCAGTTGGAGGAGATCCAGACAACAACCCACCTATCCCTCCAGAAAGGAGACAGAAAGTGGCATCTGAATACACCGAAGCTGACAAGCTCAGACTTAGAGGTGATCTCATGGCAGACTTACCTCCTTCAAGCCATTCCAAACGAAGTATATGTACTTATTGACAGCATGCAAACTGCAAAGGAGATGTGGGATGAGATTGAGAAACTACTCCAAGGTACAAGCGTCAGCCTGAAAACCAAGAAAACAACCATCCTTATTGCCTATGACTCCTTCAAAGCTGCCCCTGGAAAACCATTGAACGAGACATACAACAGACTCGTCCAACTGGTCAATGAACTAAGGAAGATCAAAGTATTCAGGACCAACTTGGAACTGAATATAAGATTTCTATCCAGCTTACATCTTGCATGGGAAAAGACAGTAAAGGATGTCAGATCACGCATTGACTTGGATGAAATTGATCTCTGCACTCTATATGAACACTTAAAGCAATTTGTCAATGAGGTTGCTTGTGCCGAGGATCAACACAACCACACCACTGAAAAAGAAGAAGAAGAAGGTGGTGGTTGAATCAGATGAAGATGAAAGTGATGATGACAAATCAGATCTGGAGGCTGAACTTGCAGACCTACAGAAGAAAATGGCACTGCTTGCCAAGAGATTTGCTAAGAAGAACAGCTCCTCCAACAAGTTGAGAACCTCCTCCTCAAATTACAAACAGAAGAACCATGATCAAGTATCTTCTAGGAAGGCACCAGTAGCTGAAGATGCCCCCAAATGCTACAACTGTGGAAAGGCTGGACATGTCATCAAAGTCTGTCGCCTGCCAAAGAAGAGGGATGAAAACTTCTACAAGCAGAAGATGCTGTGAAATAAGCAAAAGATGTTTATGGTGCAGAAGGAAGAAGAAAATTCTGCAGTGCTTGCTGAAAATGATCATTGGGCAGAAGACACTTCTAATGAGGAGGAGGAGGAAGAAAACTATGCCTTGATGGCTCGAGTGGAGGAAGAGGATGAAAGAAAGGGTGATGCTGCAATCCCCGGAAGTGAATGCTCTACAAGCTCTGTAAGTACCTCTTATCTCCCTTGCAATAATCAAAATCAGTCCTTACTTGATAAGGACAATCTTATTAAAGAACTAAAGGAGAGATTAGATAATAATCGCAGG